CAGCTGGTCGACACCTCTTTTAGCAGAAACAAAGGCTACATTAATGTATTCAATCGATGTTAATCCATGTGTGTGGTTGTGGAATGAATGGACGTGCCGTTGTCCGTTACAAACTCTTCAACTACAACCCTAATTATATCTAAAAACACGTTAGAAGGCCTCACGAAATACTTTAATGTAAATTCAAATTTAAATGTGAAGGAATGTGTGTAATGTGGTGATTGACATTATTCACCCACGGATCTATGGGTTGGGGTATTGTTCCGCACGGATATTTTAGTTAACCGGACTTCCTGTTGATGTGAAATCCGAAAACATTTTTTAAAAATAAAATAATACTTTATTCCGAGTGTGCTTGCTTTTCTCTTTGGAGGTCATCACATAACAGCATTGTAACACGCGGTTCGGCTGCATTAAATATTACATATCTGCCGTAGTTCTGTATTTATAGAGCTCTGATGAGAAGACTTCGAGACAAACATGAGGAACTGCCGCCGAAACTGAATACGTGACGTGGATCATAAATATATCAGCAATTAAACAACATCTTCCATTTCTCTTCACAATATAAGTCTCCTTGCAGTATCAACACTCATTCAGCTGACTTTTATATTTGATCCAATCGGTATATTGGTATATTTACACCATAACGGTGCACAGCTGATAGAAAGGGACACCTGGTGGTTAAAGCATGTTATTGACATGTATTATTTGTATCATTAGATATTAATAGGAGACACAGACAGACACACTAATAAGGCTTTATTTAAACATTAAAGAATACTTTAGGTTAAGGTCTTATTTTGAATAAGAAAAAAGCTTTTGGAGTATAAATATTAAGCCTGACAAAGTACTAATATATTGCTTTCCTGCAATGTTAACTACTGTATGTGTAAGCACTTATTTTAACTGATATTATACATATGTATTATACTCTTATAAGATGTATGTATATAGTATAAGAAATGTGCAGAATACGACAGTTTAATGCTGGAGGTACACACATATTGATAGATGTCTTGTAATGCACTGTTGAAGAACTTGTGACCCAAGTTTTTCATCTCCAACCTTGTCAGGTATTGAACATTCAATAAATAAAGAACATTCTCGCCTACAAAGCCCTTAATGGGCAGGCGCCATCTTACCTTAAAGAACTCATTATACCCTACTGTCCTACTAGGGCATTGCGTTCCAAGAATGCAGGGTTGTTGGTTGTTCCTAGAGTCTCTAAAAGTACAATGGGAGCCAGAGCCTTTTCTTATCAAGCTCCACATTTGTGGAATCAGCTTCCAGTTTGTGTTCGGGCGGCAGACACCCTATCCGTTTTTAAGAGTGCGCTTAAGACCTTCCTTTTTGATAAAGCTTATAGTTAGGGCTGATTAGATTCAGCCCCTAGTCTTGCTGATATAGGCTTAGTTTGTCGGGGGACATCTTACTTCTTCCTTCTCTCTGTCTATACCTGTGTACTCTAATGTTCCCATTAACCCAGCTTCCCCAAATGTCTTTCTTTTTGGTGTCTGTATACGCCGGGATCCGGAGTCATGGATGATCCTGCGGTCCTGTGTCCTGGATCGCGAGCCCTGGATCTTGAGTCGTGGCTGTGGTCCTGGATCATAGGTCCTGGATGGATATCCTCGTGGATTCATCTTCCTATTATACACACATGCATTTCCAAACATTTGGACTACCTATGTTGCAAATGTATTATCTTTTCAATTTACACACGGCATCTATTGCACGTCTGTCCGTCCTGAGAGAGAGAGAGAGAGAGAGAGAGAGAGAGAGAGAGAGAGAGAGAGAGAGAGAGAGAGAGAGAGAGAGAGAGCAGCAGGGACCGTGTTGTTAGCATCTGGTTAGCTAGCTGCACTAACGGACATAAGGAGCTGAGTCCTCTCCTCTCAGACTGAGAGGAGAGGACTCTGAGTGTTTAGATAGTTCACTTTAGTTTTGCATTCACCCCTAATAGTTTGCTCTCTGGTGAGCACCAGACCACAGTTTGTTGCATTGTTTCTTTTTCCAGAAGGTTCAGTTTGCGTTCACACGGAAAAACTCAAACGGACTATAAACTTTAAACACAAGTCATGTGCTCGGAAATGCTGTTCAACCATTGGTCAGACATTAAGGGGGTAAAAACGCCTCCGCCATGGAGCATCGGCACTCTCTGAAGGTTGTTCTCATGCTGCTGTTAATCTGGAGATCAACAGACACTAGCGGCCCGGGCATATGATTATATCATCAGACAACGTTAAAAACATGATAACACAATGAGACGTTCTGCAGTCAGAGGGCGTTTCACCGACGACAGGTGCTCTGACGTTTATGTAGCTGACGGAGCATTTTTACTTTACACGACACTGTTCAACTCTTCATCCTGCTTCACTCTTTAACTTAACAACTGGATGTCTTGAAAGACTCTTTCGCTAAAGATTTTGAAGACATCCGCGTTCTTGTGACACATAAATACTACGCTTCCTATGTTTTGGTGCGGACTGCGTTCACACCAGCGATGAACCGCTCCAGAGTTCACTAGCAAGCGCTCCGAGACCACCTCTTTCAGCGGACCAGAGTCCGGTAGTTTAGTTCACTTCAGAGGTCTCGGACTGCGTTCACACCGACCCAAACAAACCGCACCAAGCGACTAAACGCACCAGGGTTCGATTCAACCGAGGGATTTGTAAAATATCCATAAAGAAAAAGAAAATCTGTTTCCAGTTGTGTTTCATCTGGGTGTTGAGAGAGGTATCCATAGATCTCTTCATGTTGCTCTCAAAGTGCACCAGATTGATGCTTTTAACTTCAATATTTAAAACAAATCTTCCCGGCGGAGCATGCCCCCGGACCCCCCTAGAGGAGGTGAGGACCCCCCTAGAGGAGGTGAGGTCCGCCCCCCACTCATAAAAAATAGCACTTTACCCCTGCCTATATGCCGTGAGCTGATTATCGAGCCTTCATTGTAACAGTCGCGGGTGTACTGTGTGTGCGTGTGGGGAGTGTTGCAGTAGAACATTCCACTGTAGCGCCGCGGCCGCCGCCACTGTGGGCTAAGCCCCGAATGTTTCCAGGTCCAGGCGACGCCCCTGGTTGAGACGCATTGAAGAGACGGATCTAGAACATTAAATCATCAGCAGTGACCCCACTGGTGATTTCTGAAGAGTTGACGTGTCTGAAAAACGATGGTTGTTACCAAGTGGCTGAATAGGAATACAGAAGTCGTGGAGGCCGTTGTACGTCATTACGCCGAACACGTAAACACTCCTCTAAGTTAGTTTCTGTTCTGCTTGAAAGCAAGTCCCTGCCTCCTGCAGACTGTTCAAACAAACGCTTCAACTCGTTCCATTTAGTTTCTGTGTGTTTGAATATGGATCTGAAGTTGGCGTGACGTTGAAGTCGTGCTGCTGGACTCGCCTGTAGCTCCTTTATAGCATCACGTTAGCATTTAGCTTCTGGACATTAGATTTATGATTCCAACATTATAAAAGTAGACATGTGGAGATTATCTGGAACAAAACGTGATCCGTCTCTTCAATGTGTCTCAACCACAGGCCTGATTTACAGCTATTTTCCAAAATCCTATGGAGAAATCTCATTCTGTTTTGTCGAAGGAACCGGAAGGAGTTTACTTCCGGGTTTTAGGACGTGTCACTGTGGCTCTCTATGTGCTCTAACAAAGCTTTATATTTCCCTTCCTCGACATATAATAATATATAATACTGAATCCCCCCAAACAGCAGCCCCCCCCCCTGCTGCCCCCTGTAGGTGAACACTGCCCCCTGCAGGTGAACACTGAACACTGCAGGTAAACACTGAACACTGCAGGTGAACACTGCCCCCTGCAGGTGAACACTGGACACTGCAGGTGAACACTGGACACTGCAGGTGAACACTGCCTCCTGCAGGTGAACACTGAACACTGCAGGTGAACACTGGACACTGCAGGTGAACACTGCCTCCTGCAGGTGAACACTGAACACTGCAGGTGAACACTGCCTCCTGCAGTTGAACACTGAACACTGCAGGTGAACACTGCCCCCTGCAGGTGAACACTGAACACTGCAGGTGAACACTGCCTCCTGCAGGTGAACACTGAACACTGCAGGTGAACACTGCCCCCTGCAGGTAAACACTGAACACTGCAGGTGAACACTGCCCCCTGCAGGTGAACACTGAACACTGCAGGTGAACACTGGACACTGCAGGTGAACACTGCCTCCTGCAGGTGAACACTGAACACTGCAGGTGAACACTGGACACTGCAGGTGAACACTGCCTCCTGCAGGTGAACACTGAACACTGCAGGTGAACACTGAACACTGCAGGTGAACACTGGACACTGCAGGTGAACACTGCCTCCTGCAGGTGAACACTGAACACTGCAGGTAAACACTGAACACTGCAGGTGAACACTGAACACTGCAGGTGAACACTGGACACAGCAGGTGAACACTGCCTCCTGCAGGTGAACACTGAACACTGCAGGTGAACACTGGACACTGCAGGTGAACACTGAACACTGCAGGTGAACACTGCCCCCTGCAGGTGAACACTGAACACTGCAGGTGAACACTGGACACTGCAGGTGAACACTGAACACTGCAGGTGAACACTGCCCCCTGCAGGTAAACACTGAACACTGCAGGTGAACACTGCCCCCTGCAGGTGAACACTGAACACTGCAGGTGAACACTGGACACTGCAGGTGAACACTGCCTCCTGCAGGTGAACACTGAACACTGCAGGTGAACACTGGACACTGCAGGTGAACACTGCCTCCTGCAGGTGAACACTGAACACTGCAGGTGAACACTGCCCCCTGCAGGTGAACACTGAACACTGCAGGTGAACACTGCCTCCTGCAGGTGAAACACTGAACACTGCCCCCTGCAGGTAAACACTGAACACTGCAGGTAAACACTGCCCCCTGCAGGTGAACACTGCAGGTGTTGAGTGTTCACCTGTCTGTCAAACCCACTCCTCAAATTCAGAATAAGAACAGGAAACACTTTGAAGATTCATTTAGTCATTTTTATTCATAAGGCCAAAATCACAGCATCAGTCCGCCGTTAACATCAGGTGATCATTACCTGTGCATGTTAACATCAGGTGATCATTACCTGTGCATGTCAACATCAGGTGATCATTACCTGTGCATGTTTACATCAGCTGATCATTACCTGTGCATGTTTACATCAGGTGATCATTACCTGTGCATGTTAACATCAGGTGATCATTACCTGTGCATGTTTACATCAGGTGATCATTACCTGTGCATGTTTACATCAGGTGATCATTACCTGTGCATGTTTACATCAGGTGATCATTACCTGTGCATGTTTATATCAGGTGATCATTACCTGTGCATGTTTACATCAGGTGATCATTACCTGTGCATGTTTACATCAGGTGATCATTACCTGTGCATGTTTACATCAGGTGATCATTACCTGTACAGTGTACATGTTTACATCAGGTGATCATTACCTGTGCATGTTTACATCATGTGATCATTACCTGTGCATGTTTACATCAGGTGATCATTACCTGTGCATGTTTACATCAGGTGATCATTACCTGTGCATGTTTACATCAGGTGATCATTACCTGTACATGTTTACATCAGGTGACAGGTGTATCACTGATCATTTCATGCATCATTTTCAGGAACGATTGATGTATTTCTTCAGTTTTAGCACTTCCTGTCAGCTGACCTACTCCCCCTTCACACCTGCGGCTCCGCAGACACACCTGGTTGGATCCTCGTCGTCACGGCGACAGGGGAACGCCTGGACCACCTGAGCGATGCTATTGGCCACCGAGGTGGAGCTGGCTGCGATCACTCTGCGTGACATCATGTCGAAGTCTGAGCCTGAGGAGAGACACGAGCCAATCAGAGGAGAGACACGAGCCAATCAGAGGAGAGACACAGACCAATCAGAGGAGAGACACAGACCAATCAGAGGAGAGACATGGACCAGGACCAATGAGAGGAGAGACACGGACCAGGACCAATGAGAGGAGGACAAAGGGACCAATGAGAGGAGAGATACGGACCAGGACCAATGAGAGGAGGACAAAGGGACCAATGAGAGGAGAGATACGGACCAGGACCAATGAGAGGAGGACACACGGAACAATGAGAGGAGGACACACGGACAAATGAGAGGAGGACACAGCCCCACAGGTACACACAGATCAATGAGCGGAGGACACGCCCCCACAGGTACACACAGACCAATGAGAGGAGGACACGCCCCTACAGGTACACACAGACCAATGAGAGGAGGACACGCCCCTACAGGTACACACAGACCAATGAGAGGAGGACACGCCCCGACAGGTACACACAGAATACACACCATCAGTATCCATGACGACGCCCCCCGCCTCCTGCACGATGATGGCGGAGGCGGCGATGTCCCAGCAGTGCATCCCGATGTGATAGTAGGCGTCAGCGCCGCCCGTCGCCACCTGACACATGTCGACCGCTGCCGTGCCCAGCGCACGCACCCTGCATCAACAACAACAACAACAACAACATGTTAATGAGACAACAACACCTGACACATGTCGACCGCCGCCATGCCCAGAGCACGCACCCTGCATCAACAACAACAACAACATGTTAATGAGACAACAACACCTGACACATGTCCACCGCCGCCGTGCCCAGCGCACGCACCCTGCATCAACAACAACAACATGTTAATGAGACAACAACACCTGACACATGTCCACCGCCGCCGTGCCCAGCGCACGCACCCTGCATCAACAACAACAACATGTTAATGAGACAACAACACCTGACACATGTCCACCGCCGCCGTGCCCAGCGCAGGCACCCTGCATCAACAACAACAACATGTTAATGAGACAACAACACCTGACACATGTCCACCGCCGCCGTGCCCAGCGCAGGCACCCTGCATCAACAACAACAACATGTTAATGAGACAACAACACCTGACACATGTCCACCGCCGCCGTGCCCAGCGCAGGCACCCTGCATCAACAACAACAACAACAACATGTTAATGAGACAACAACACCTGACACATGTCCACCGCCGCCATGCCCAGCGCAGGCACCCTGCATCAACAACAACAACAACAACATGTTAATGAGACAACAACACCTGACACATGTCCACCGCCGCCATGCCCAGCGCAGGCACCCTGCATCAACAACAACAACATGTTAATGAGACCACAACAACGACACCACAACAAAACATTAATGAGACGACAACAACACCACAACAACAACACGTCAATGAGACAACAACAACACGTCAATGAGACGACAACAGCACGGCAGAGACACAACAACAACTCGGTAAAGACACAACAACACCACAACAACAACACACACTGACCCATGGACGGGCAGCTGCAGCAGCCGGAGGATGTTGGAGGTCATGGTGGACAGAGCGAGGTCATCACGCTCTGCCCCGATCTCCGTCACCACCACACACTTCTTGACGTCTGATTGGACGACACACAACAAGTCACAAGCATGACAATTGACACGGCTTGGTTCCTCGTCATAACAACAACAACAACAACAACAACAACAAACCCCCCCAGAAACACTGTGTTTGTTTTCTGCCGTTCAGACAACGTCACCGAGCGTCAGCAGGTTAAACACACATCAGTTCTATGGCACTACAGGTGTGTGATGTTACAGGTGTGTGATGTCACAGGTGTGTGATGTCACAGGTGTGTGATGTCACAGGTGTGTGATGTCACAGGTGTGTGATGTTACAGGTGTGTGATGTCACAGGTGTGTGATGTCACAGGTGTGTGATGTCACAGGTGTGTGATGTTACAGGTGTGTGATGTCACAGGTGTGTGATGTCACAGGTGTGTGATGTCACAGGTGTGTGATGTCACAGGAGTGTGATGTCACAGGTGTGTGATGTCACAGGTGTGTGATGTCACAGGTGTGTGATGTTACAGGTGTGTGATGTCACAGGTGTGTGATGTCACAGGAGTGTGATGTCACAGGTGTGTGATGTCACAGGTGTGTGATGTCACAGGTGTGTGATGTCACAGGTGTGTGATGTCACAGGAGTGTGATGTCACAGGTGTGTGATGTCACAGGAGTGTGATGTCACAGGTGTGTGATGTCACAGGTGTGTGATGTCACAGGTGTGTGATGTCACAGGAGTGTGATGTCACAGGTGTGTGATGTCACAGGTGTGTGATGTCACAGGTGTGTGATGTTACAGGTGTGTGATGTCACAGGTGTGTGATGTTACATGTGTGTGATGTCACAGGTGTGTGATGTCACAGGAGTGTGATGTCACAGGTGTGTGATGTCACAGGTGTGTAATGTCACAGGTGTGTGATGTCACAGGTGTGTGATGTCACAGGTGTGTGATGTTACAGGTGTGTGATGTCACAGGTGTGTGATGTCACAGGTGTGTGATGTCACAGGTGTGTGATGTCACAGGTGTGTGATGTTACAGGTGTGTGATGTCACAGGTGTGTGATGTCACATGTGTGTGATGTCACAGGAGTGTGATGTCACAGGTGTGTGATGTTACATGTGTGTGATGTCACAGGTGTGTGATGTCACAGGAGTGTGATGTCACAGGTGTGTGATGTCACAGGTGTGTAATGTCACAGGTGTGTGATGTCACAGGTGTGTGATGTCACAGGTGTGTGATGTTACAGGTGTGTGATGTCACAGGTGTGTGATGTCACAGGTGTGTGATGTCACAGGTGTGTGATGTCACAGGTGTGTGATGTTACAGGTGTGTGATGTCACAGGTGTGTGATGTCACATGTGTGTGATGTCACAGGAGTGTGATGTCACAGGTGTGTGATGTTACAGGTGTGTGATGTCACAGGTGTGTGATGTCACAGGAGTGTGATGTCACAGGTGTGTGATGTCACAGGTGTGTGATGTCACAGGTGTGTGATGTCACAGGTGTGTGATGTTACATGTGTGTGATGTCACAGGTGTGTGATGTCACAGGAGTGTGATGTCACAGGTGTGTGATGTCACAGGAGTGTGATGTCACAGGAGTGTGATGTCACAGGTGTGTGATGTTACAGGTGTGTGATGTCACAGGTGTGTGATGTTACAGGTGTGTGATGTTACAGGTGTGTGATGTCACAGGTGTGTGATGTTACAGGTGTGTGATGTTACAGGTGTGTGATGTCACAGGTGTGTGATGTTACAGGTGTGTGATGTTACAGGTGTGTGATGTCACAGGTGTGTGATGTCACCTTCCTGTCCGGAGGCCTGCAGCTTCTCTCCGTTCAGGAATGCTCCTCTTCCTCTCTGAGCGTGAAACAGTTTGTCCTCCACACAGCTGTAAACGATCCCAAACTCTGTCTGACAATAACAACACCATATACAACATCAACAAGTACATCAACAACAACAACAACATCAACCCCCCCCCCCCCCCTCAGCTAACAGGTGTGTTTACCTGCTTGTTGATGGTGAAGGCGATGGAGATGGCAACAAAGGGAAACCTGTCAGGAAACAGGACACAGGAAAAAGGACACAGGACACAGGAAGCAGGAAACAGGACACAGGACACAGGAAACAGGACACAGGACACAGGAAGCAGGAAACAGGACACAGGACACAGGAAACAGGACACAGGACACAGGATACAGGATACAGGACACAGGACACAGGACACAGAACACAGGACACAGGACACAGGACACAGGATACAGGAAACAGGACACAGGAAACAGGACACAGGAAACAGGACATAAACAGGACATACACAGGAAACAGGAAACAGGACACAGGCAACAGGACACAGGAAACGGGACAGA